CTCTTATGGATAACAACAACAGTATTAGCAATACGCGTGCAGGGAAATATAGAGAGCACTGCTGCATTTAGTCGCGAGATCGTGTGAGATAGCAACAGCGTGGGGATGGATGCCTTCATCCAGTCGTGGATGAAATATGGTCGATCAAAATGTTGATGTGCTTAATAGAAATAAAGCATTCATATGGAGATGTGCATTTATTTATTCCTTCATTACAAGTGGTCTTTTTAAAATCTTGTTTTTCCCCAGCTAATTAATAATGCAGCCGCGAAAACAATCCTCGCAAAAAAAAACGAGCCACTCAATTCCACGCACGGCAAAAGGGTTGCCTCGTGACTGCGCGTAAGAGCAGCCGCGAGAACTTTTCGTGCAGAATGTTCGCCTGTTGCGCGCCCACTTATCCACGGGTGCACTTCCCCCCAACGTGCTCGAGCGGCCGCAGGCTGTCGTACAGAGCTGACGGTCGTGTCGCGTGAAATCGCGTGGGAGCTGCGCGTTGACCCAAAGGTCAAAGTTGGGGCAACGTTTGCGCCGGTTTGGTCGGCAGGAGGGCACCCGCACGGTACTTGGTCGCGTCGGTCGACTCGGCGTCGTCGCCGTGGCTCGGCGTGTTCCACCGCAAAAAAAATGATGAACACCGGCTCAGCCCTGTTGACATTCAGCCTTAAAGATCATGTCCTTGGCATCAGACTTTTTTTTTTAAACCTGCATCAGTTGTTCATTTGAGCCAACAACACGCGAGAGGTTTTCTTTGTAACTTTCTGAAACCTCCTTTATAGGTTACGACAGTCTGTTCCAGATGTTTTAGTGAAACGGTGAGTGAGGCTTTGGGGTTGGTTTTTTTTTTAGAATCAAACAGAAGGATTTAATTTGTGGACAAGTCAGAGGGGCCAGGACCGGGCATGATTGTGCAGTGTTTATGAGTTGCGAGGTTTAATTTGGTGGATTCTTGAACGGGGACTTCGCGCTTTCAATGTGGATACAAACAACAAACTGAACAGAAAAGAGTGTTGGTAAATGACGCGGATAACTTTCTTGAAATTATGTGTGAGTGGATTGTTCCTGTAGAGTGACAAGGCTAGCCAAAGTAATGATACGGCTGGAAGTCCAGATAATTATATTAGTATATGTTTTGCTCTATTACAAAACATCTTCTGCTTTAACATATAGATGTTGAGTTCATACCTCACCTATGCTGCGATTTTAAAATGGAATTAAGCAAGAGCCTACTTCACAAATCGCATTGGTCAGAGTGGTGAAGTATGGTCATACAACTTCCACGAAGCCGCACGCCATAGAGAGAGAGACGTCTCATCCCACTGGCCCATTGACACGAGGGCTGTAGATGTTCACACAATAGTATAACGATAGTCAACAGCCCCATTGTCAATCCACTGCTGGATGAAGGCCATAAGGGTTGTGCAACTAAACTTTACCACGTCGGTCAGTGCGGGTCAGTGAAGGTGGGTGGGTGCCCAAGACCGCGGCGAATTTCACTCACCACTGATGTTAGCCGTGGTCGCGCACTCAAACTTAGGTGACTCGTGGGAGACTCACGAGTCAACGTCGCGGCGGTGATGGTGGTGTTGTCACCGTACTGACACACGCGTGCATCTGAGTCGCGGCGGTGATGGTGGTGTTGTCACCGTACTGACACACGCGTGCATCTGAGTCGCGGCGGTGATGGTGGTGTTGTCACCGTACTGACACACGCGTGCATCTGAGTCGCGGCGGTGATGGTGGTGTTGTCACCGTACTGACACACGCGTGCATCTGAGTCGCGGCGGTGATGGTGGTGTTGTCACCGTACTGACACACGCGTGCATCTCAGTGTGCCAACCTGCCACGGGGATGTTGAAGCTGCACGTTGTTTAAGCCGCAGAGATGCAACTGAGTGCTAAGCGATGCTACGCAAGACAGGGATAATAATAATATAATATTGTTTAGTATTAATTATGCGTTGTCCCAGTAGCGTCTTGTCACTATTGATAGCGCCTAACTATTAATAACTTGTATCGAGCATGGTGAAGTATAGTCAATCAATCCCTCATGGCTACCACGGCGGAGGAAGGCCTTTTTCCAACGGTGGATTGACAAAGAGCCGGTACATGACATGATTACGTTTATTAGTGACTATCCATTACCTTTTAGAGTGGAGCGGTGGCGCTGTGGTTAGCGCTATGGCGCTATAAACCCAGATAACTAATCCGTTTTTGGGGACCGCGGCTTACACGCCCCATCCTGCACTTACCAGCGTGGTGAAGTATGGTCAAACAACCCCCGCATGGCGGACACGGCTTAGGGAGGCTTTCATCCAGCAGTAGAATGACGAAAGGCTGTGCGTTAGATATATATTACAATTCACTATTAATTTATACGCATGAACGTTTTGGCCAATCCTGCAAAAAAAGCTATTTAACTCATATGATGTACGAACGTATGTTGAACTTATTTCGCACCTCCGATTAGCAATGATTGGTGACGCACGGTGCGAAAGAAGTTCAACATAATGCCGTAACGTAGCCAACGCATGCTTACGCATAGGTTGGGCAGTACGTCAAGTTCGGTTGTTGACACATTCGCAACGGGAGTTTTGGCGTTCTCCCCCGTGTGTGTGTGTGAGTTGTTCCTTCCACGACAAGCAAATACTTATTTAATATATAACAGTATACCGTCCAAACATCTGAAACTGGGCACTCCTCGGCGAGTCTTTGGCACTCGTAGTTATTTTTTTCCATCTCTCCCCATTATATACGTGTGTTATACATACTAACTAACACTCCCGTTGCCATTCCACTGCTGGACGAAAGCCTTTTTCACAACTACCATGCCAATCAGTTAGTTGACCATACTTCACCACGCTGGTCAGTTGCGTTTTGGTGGAGCGCGTGTGTGTGTGTAGCGATTCCCGCTCACGGCCAACACCAGTGACGATTATCTGAACCGGTCCTGAGCCTCCCCTAGGTCGACCCAGCCTCTTCAAATGAGTACCTGGTGCGGTGTGTAGACAACGCCACTGGGGAGACAAATGCGGCCGGACGTGGTGCTGGCCACCCACCGCCAAGGGCGCCGTGCCGGCCTTCATAGGTACTCGCTAACAGCACTCGCCCCAACAGTCTCTTAAGGCTACACGGGGGATCTTTGTCTGCCCATTACGGCATCCGCTACTGATGTCGGTCGCGGGCCAGGAATCGAACTGGAAGTGGCCAACTTCACAAGCGCAAGGAGTGCGCTCTCAGACGCGCCGTCGACCTACGTGAAGTTTCTGCGTACGTTTAATGACACATGTAAATATGACCACGGGTTCAAAACAACAACAACAACAACAACAAAGAGGTTATTGCCACTTTGGGCACGGCCGATGTCTGAGCGGACGATGGTTTACGCGGCTCGGCAGTCAACGACTGAACCGCCGCGACCACTGGCAGTCCGTGCGGCACCCGTGACTCTTCACGAATCGCGTTCACCAGTCAAGTCGTCCGTCCGCGCGCGCGCCCCGTTCGCGTGAACCCCCCACTCCGCGGCCGAGCGATCGTTACTCGGGCTCACAGCTGTTTCGCGGCGACGGTAAAGCAATTAAGTCGAGTACGTCTTCGCGTGACACGCGCGCGTGCGTGTCACGCGCGCGTGTCTTCAGCGGTGGGGGGGGGGGGTGGCGATGGCGCAGTGGTTAGCGCGCTGCGCCCCTAACCGGGCAACGCGAGTTTCGATTCCCGCTCGCGACCAAGGAGAGTGGCGACACTGTCAACCGGCGCTGGGGCCCTAACCCCTCGATCGACTCAGACCCAAATGAGTACCCCGGTGCGTAAACATCGCCACGAAGGGAGACAAAGGCGGCCGTGCGTGGGGGTGCTGGCCAACCACCCCCTCGTGTGCCGTACCCGGCTCGTTAACAACACTTGCCCCAAAAGTCAGTTAAGGCTATACGAGGGGGGGGGGGGTGTGTTTATGTTTTGCACGTGTCGTTGTGTGTGTCCGTGTCTGTCGGTGTGAGCAGTGACACGGTGGTTTCGCGCACTGAGCTACTACGAAACTCGACTATAATGGTTCGATACCTGGACACGGATTACATCGCCGCTTGCAAGTCCGAGACTTTCCGCCCCCCTCGCCCCCCCCCCCCCCCCCCCCTAGGCCGACTCAATCTTAAATTAGGGCATGGTGCTAGCCACTCCACTCCGTAGGAATTCGGCCCCAGTAGGTGCTCGCAAACAGCAGTTTCTCTAAACACTCGGCAGAGGTCTAGGCATTGCCGTTGTATTTGTGCCGTGGATGCGCAAAGTTGATACTAAAATATGACGTGCACACACACATAGACAAAGATCCCCCGTATAGCCATACCGTACTTTTGAGTCAAGTACTGTTCGAGAGCACCCGTGAAGGCCGGAAAGGAACCCGAGGCGATGTTGTGGCCTGAATCACGCCCGCCCGCCTTTGTCTTCCCAGTGTCGATGTTTACACAACGCACCAGGTCACTCATTTGAGGCTGAGTCAACTTAGGGGAGGTTCAGATTACAGCAATGTCACTGGCCCTGAGCGGGAATCGAACTCGGGTGGCCGCGTTCGCAGCGCAGCGCGCCCTACCCGCTACTCACACGTGCGCGCACACGTGTATACATACACACACACGTGTACACATACACAAACACGTGTGTGTGTATGTGTACACACGTTTGTACACACACACACGAGTATACACACACGTGTGTACACACACACACGTGTACACATACACACACACGTGTGTACACACACACGCGTGTACACACACACACACGTGTACACACACACGTGTACACATACACACACACGTGTGTACACACACACGCGTGTACACACACACACACGTGTACACACACACGTGTACACATACACACACACGTGTGTACACACACAAACACACGTGTGTACACACACAAACACACACGTGTGTACACACACAAACACACGTGTGTACACACACAAACACACGTGTGTACACACACAAACACACGTATACTCACTTCGTCTGTGCCGCTTGGCCCTCGCCGTCGCGTTGTGGCCGTCCGTAAAATCCACGAGAGAGGCGACCATGAGCAGGAGCACATGGAACTGCATAGTCGCTTTGCCGGGCACCAGCCAGGTTCACTGCGGCTCGAGCAGACGCGCTTGGCTGCAGCTATTGCTGCCCATAGACAACTCGTCCCGTCCTCGAGAGTCGAAGCTCGCAGTCTTCTTCCCACTTTCCTCCCTCCCCCCCCCCCTTTAAGAGCTGCCGAGTAGCGCGGATGCCGCACTGTCGACTACGTGGCTACAATATCGTCCCGATGCAATACGTGCATCGCACCGTCGCTTCTCATGTCAACGCAGCCGTCGCTCCGCTCGCTCCGTGCTCTTGGTCACGCTCTTGGCTCGGAGAGTCGCGCGCGCGCGCCTTTTCCTTTTATCCTAACGGACGCGCCGCTCTTGGTACCTTGAAATCGGAGGATGTGATCCTCTCTGTCTCTCGTTATGTGTGTCTCTCTCTCTCTGTGTGCGCGCGCGTGTCTCTCTCTCTCTATCTCTCACTCTGTGTGAGTGTGTCTCGTCCCGTGCTGTTTGTTTTGGTCGCGGCTCAGCGACGTGCCCCGCCAGGTAGACGCGAGCGCTCACTGGGCACGCTGCCTTCGCGTGTGCGCATCGTGAGTCTGGCTCACGTCGCCTCCGTGATCGCCTGTGTGAGAAGGGAGAGCATGAGCCACGGTCTCAAGAGGTTCAGGCTCCAATTGGGGGTCCGACGATTCGGGGAACGGCTCAAAGCTCGCCGCAAATATGCGTTCACGTAAATGAACAAAAACAACTCGACTGTTCCACAAAGGTCGGTTCGGTTAACCGGAGGGATAAATTGTCCCCGACTTACCTGCGCAACGCCGGGCTTGGAGACAGCATGCGCTCTGCTCACTGTCGCGTTTGTATTTAATACGAGGGGGGGTTGCGGTGGCGGTGGTGGTGCCGGCGGTAGTGGCGCGTAACCTTCAAGTTATAAAACATCCTTCAAATGTCTACTGGTTATAACAGAAGGCGGGTTTCCTCCTGGGATACAAAATAATAAAACGATAACGGTCGTAATAATATAATGACTATAATACAAAACAAGTCAAAGGAAGAGATGTAGAGAGAGGAGGGAGAGAAACACACTTGGAAATTTATTACCGGATGAAGTTCTCGCGAGTGGCGGCGTAAGCGATAGGGCGTTAGTGCGCTGCCGGGAGCGAGCAGCGAACGGAAAACGAGTTTTAATTTAAAACAAATGTGCCTGCCACGGCACAGCGCAGCTCAGGGGCTCTGGTTCGTGGGGAGACACGGAGGAGGAGGAGGAGGGAGGAGCGGGCCGGCCACTTGCTCGCTCGCCTCCCAGCTCAGGAATGGGTCTCTCCACTCATGGGTACCGCTCCTCTTTAGCTCCCGCAGAGATCCTGGCGATGGCGTCAGCGCTACGAGGGGGACTCAAGGGGGGGGGGGCAGCTTGAGGTGGGGGGAGGAATTGATGGGGGCCAGGGCGGCGCTTGGGTGAGTCTCGACAAGGGGGAGGGAGGGAGGGAGGTAGGGAGGGTGGGAGCCGGTGTTAGGTTAGTGGGGGGTGGGGAGCGAGGAGGTGGGACGGAGAAGAGAGGAGAGAGTGGCTTGTGCTGGAGGAGGTATGGAGGAGGAGTGTGGAGGGGGGGGTTGAGAGAGTGTGTGTGTGGTGGTGGGGGGTGGCTGGCTGGAGAGGGCATCGGCCAAACATCTTGCTTTGCGGCTTGCGGAGAATCTTAAGGATTCGGTGTAAATGTGCGTCTTGGGGCTACCGAGTGCAAGGCGCGCACTTCTTATGAAAGAACGGAAACGGTGCCAACGCATCTCAGGAGTGTACACCACGCCGTGACAGCCTCCTCTACCACGGATGGCACCGAGAGCTCGCGGTGTTTTGAGGATTGTGCCGTGGGCGCGAGATGTTGGTAGAGGTCTTCGCAGCGCCACGCTTTTTTTTTTGGGGGGGGGGGGGGATCGGCACGTGTTTTTGTTTCTTTGGGAATATCGCCCAGGGAAATGTGGAAATCTAAACATGACGGCTTTGATGGCACCGTGCGCGCGCGCGTGTGTGTCGTGACGCTGCAAGAGGCTGCTCGGCAGCCTTTCGGGATCTGTTTTTCTTCACTAAGTGTTGAATAATGCCCACAATATGTACTCCAGTTGAACTTCAGAATATCCCTAAACTACCAGGGAATTATAACAAACCTCAACAGAGATTAACCGACACCTGTAAGACTACGACCGCAAATGATTTAATTATACCCTTTATCTTCTATGCCAGCTCTTGATAATAATAATCATAATAATAAAAAACTGCGCCTCTTTCTCTACCCAACTGCCCTTCACACAAATAGCCTCGTTGTTTGGCAGAACCTTTCGACACATCACAACGTCGGTAGGAGTTCATGCTGCTATGCCTGCATACGCGTGCGTCAAAGGAGCGAGCACGCGTCCGCCGCGGAGATGGAGCGACGAGGCGGCTTGGTTTGGGTCTTCATCCAGCAGTGGATAGTCTATGAGTGGTGATAATGATGATGCGATGCTCTTCACTTGCTCTGTGGGTCGTTGGCCGTAGTTACGAAGAGCACGTTAAGCTACAAAGCAACACAGAGAGGCGGACACAATCATAGACACACAGAAACGCGAAGAGGTACAGAGGACCACAGAGAGAGAGAGAGACGCACATGCACAGATAGAGACACACAGAAATGCACAGACACACAGAAGCTTGGAGACACGCACAGAAACACACAGATACACGTCGAGCGACACACAGACACAGGGTGAAACAGATGCAGACGGATAAGCGTAGAGAGACTCGGAGAACCGTAGGGAGATACCGATACACATGGAGATACAGAGGCAGACACGGATACCCCTCATGTCCCCACGGAGACCCCGAGGTGCACGCAAAATATGCAGCCGACTGATAGCGCCGAATAGGGCGCAGGGAGCGGCGCTCTGGGAGATTCGATCGTTTGCGTTTTGTATATTTCATGTAAGGGACGCTTTGAAGTTCGTGCGGGGCATTGGCCTCCGTGGCAAAAACAATGTTAATTACACAAATGATACGTAAAAAAAAATGCCTTTGCACCAGGAAACGTAGAAAACGAAATAGGAGTATCATGGGGCCATTAAGAAGGCTGTCTCTGGTGCAGGCCGATCAGTTTAAAAGACAATGGGTGTATTAATTATTAGAGCGTGTTTTGTTTGCATGCACGTGTGGGTGATGCAGGCTTGCTTGCTTGAAGAAGTGATCTATTTGGTGTTTGAACATCTTAACACCTATTTGATTGCCAAAATGGTGAATCCCATTCTAACGTTTTATACTAACACGGGAGAGTACACGTGTGGACACCGCAAAGCGAGTACGTTGCAAACGGCACACGTACGAACAACGGCGAGTTTTTGTTGTTTTAAAGCTGGAAGTAGCAACATGCTAAAATGACCTCGCTAACCGATTCGCAAAACAGTTTACGGACAATGTCCATAAATGTGTACGTACGTAAAGAGCGAGTGTTGCCCTTTCACCAGGAGCTCCGATTGGCACGCTTGGCTGCGTACGGTGCGAAAGAAGTCCAACATACATGCAACGGCTCTGGTTATTTATTCGGACTAGCAGAACACCAGCAACATGATGACACATTCTACCTTTTTGTTGTTGTTGTTGTTTGTTGTTGTTAAGCAATGTGGCCTCCCACTCACACGGCATGCATGTGCGGCTGGCTCGCTTACTTTGAAACGATGGCAGGCGTCGGCTGTCGAGCGCGCGGCGGGAATGCTCTCCAAGTATCCCACTCACGCTCCGATCCACTGCTAATTCAACTTCCATGCGATCGAGCTTGCTGTTTCTCACCCAGGGAGAGGCCCACGGCTCTTTCCTTTTCTTCTTCTTCTTCTTATTATCTCGTTGGTAAGAGATAAACTGGGTGGTTTCAGGGAGCGGTGCTGCAGTGGTGGCTCGGGGTCCACTGCCTCATTAAGCTAGCGACGTGAATTTTCCATTCCCTGCCACGGCTGACACCAGTAGCGTCAGTTCACTTCAGTGTAGTCTATTGATTCCGTCGGCACTGGGACCAATGTCCCGGTGGCGAACAACAATTTACAAATTTAGCAATCTTTGAAAGAACGTAATCAACCAGGTAGGGTGTTGACTGTTATGTTAGCCGACTCTCTGTGTTGTATTGCATTATATTTATAAGTTTCACTAGGTTTGTTTTCTCATTCATTCGTACCTGATGATGAGTGCTTGTGTTGCAATCGAAACGTCGTATGCTATTATTAAATTTATTTTTCTTTCTACGTGACTTTACCGAAAGAACCAAAGAGTAATGTGCATAATACCGCAGTTTATCACACGTCAGGCTTATTATTAATACATGATTAGTTTTTTTTTTACATTAATGTCGGTTGCAAAGTCCTCTATTGTCACGGGGGAGCTCGTTTCACTCATTGGCTGTACGACGCATACGGCAGTATTTTACTACATCACAACGTACACGTTTTTAAAATCAATTTTTTGTCACGGTCCATTCTACGACTGTGATACGTGCGGTGATTGCACTTTTTGTCAGTTTAGCCCAAGCTCTCTCTCTCTCTGCTGAAGTAGATTCCTTGCGTCGTGTAAATTTCAGTCTGGCGTTCTGGCGTCCGCGACCCGGATCTGCCCACTCGAGTGCATTACGCATCGCGTTCACATCGGCTCATCGTGAGAAGATCCCATTGGCAAATCTCGCCGCCGCTCGTCTCTGCACTCGTTCCTTGTCTTTGATTAATGAGCTCCTCGTGGTGAGGGCTCCAGCCTACGGGGCAGCACCAAGCACAAAGCTTCCGTTGAACAAAATCACTATACACATTTCTTTTTTTGCCCGATTTTAATCGGAACTCTGAAGATAAACAGCGTTGAGTCTGGCTCGTGCTCAGATGGGTAACCGGTGCGATATAGCGTTAAAGGCCGACGCGGGCACTTTTACCAAATCGCAATTACCAGCGTGATCGAGTATGGTTAGACAACGCCCATAACTAGAAAAGTTGTGGGACGGCCTTCACCCAGCAGTGGATTGATAAAAGGCTGATTATGAGTAGCTTTAGCCAAAATGAACGGTCACCGTGCGTTATTCTTCATACATATATGCATTACTTTCAAACATTACGCAATTGCACGAGCGCACCGAGGTCAATGGATTTATTTTGGCGTTCATCGCAGCGTTACGCGTTAGGATTTAGCCACGCCGTATTTCGAATTCAGAGAGTCTCTTTGTTGTTTTTAGGAGGGGTTTGAGCTTTGACGTTTGTTACGCACTTCGAGGCAAATTCCATATGAATGAGAGCAGGGCTTCGAGTTGGGGGGGGGGGGAAGAAGTTGAAGTTAACCGGAGGAAACTCCGCTAAGATAGATATCAAGATGTCATTTACCGCGCTGTCCTTCCGAGAACACCTCGCGGAGAAGGTTGTGTCGGGTCGTCGCGGACCTCGCCTTATTACACGCACAGTGGCGTAGCGATCGAGTGGCCATGCCGGGCAACTGCACACTGGGGGCCCAGGAGGCGGACGGGCCGAAGGCAATTGGCTACGGGGGAGGAAAGTGGGGTTGGGGTGAAACATTTGACAGGGGCCTAATTTCACTCCTTGCAGCAGGGCCCAATACAGTCCACGCTATGCCACTGCACAGTGGGGTGATGGCCGTAATTAATGACAAAGGTGCCCCGTATAGCCTTGGCATACTGTTGGGGCAAGTGCTATTAGCGAGCACCTACGAAGGCCAGCAAGGCACACGAGGGAGTGACGATGTTCACACACCGCAACAAGTACTAATTTGAGTCTGAGTCGATCTAGGGGAGGCTCGAGACCGGTTCAGATGATCGTCACTGGTTCGTAGCGAGGCAGCACTAACCGCTACACGACCGCTCCGTAATTAATCGCATACACACGCAGACATCTTCAACGGAGACAACGGGAGATCCTGCATCACGGATCCACTCTGCTTGGGCGGCAGGATGGCGCAGCTGAAACACTTGTGACTCACAGCAAGAAAACCCCTGCGTTCGATTCCTGACTCGGGCACATTTCTTCATGGAGTTTGTATATTGTCCCACTTTATCTGCATGGATTTCCTCCGGGTTCAGCGGTTTCTTCCCATAGCAAAAAAAACCCCATCCCCAATGTAATATTCCAAATTACCTGCATGTAACTCTATTATCATTACGCGTAGCAAACATTGTTTCCCGACTGCCAACAAACTTGGCGGGGACCCCTCGTGAAAATGAGTCTCGAGACTTGGCGAGGCTTTCCTGGGTAATAAAATAAAACATTCCCACAGCGCTTCCCTCCTTCCCCGCGCGCGTGCGCCGCGATGGTTCCAGAGCACGGAGGCGAGGTGAAGGGGATGCTCCGAGTGGAGGGATGTT